TATACATATATATGTATATATATATATAAGTGTGCAACACATACGTTAATATAATTAGAGTTAAGGAACATACACCGGGCAGATGTCCCTGCTGCGGGCTGCATGCATCAGCAGCAGCAGCAGCAGCGGCGCTCAGCATTGGCAGCAGCAGCAGAAGTGCCCAGTAACAGCAGCAGCAACAACAGCAGCAGTGCTCAGCGGCAGCAGCAGCAGCAGCAGTGCTTAGCAACAGCAGTAGCAGCAGCAGTGCACAGCAGCAGCAGCCTGGATTTGTGTATTCGAGCAACAGAAGGTGCTGCTGCTGCGCTTTTGCTGCAAAGCCCCAACAGAATCTGTAACTGCTGCTGCTGCAACTTCCACTGCTGCTGCTGCAATCTCAGCTGCTGCTGCTGCTGCTGCAATCTCAGCTGCTGCTGCTGCAGCATGCAGTTGCGGGGCCTCGCTGTTGCATGGCTTTGTCTCCTTGTCTCCATTGTGGGGCCCCCCGATGTGGGGCCCCCTGCTGGGGGGCCCCCTGAAGAGGGGCCCCCTGAGGGGCCCCTTAAGCGGTGTGCCGATGGGGCTGCTGCTGTTTCGGGGGCCCCCAGACTCTTCTCAACAGAGTCCTGCTGCTGCTGCTGCTGCTGCTGCTGCGGCTGCTCCTGCTGCAGTCGCTTCTCCGGGGACTCCCGCTGTGAGTCACTGCAGCGGAGGCGTTTGCGCCTCAAAGGGGCAGGAGCTGTTGCTGCTGCTGCTGTTGCTGCTGCTGCTTGCAGCAGCACAGCAGCCCCCAGGTTTTCCCCTTCGCTGCTTTCAGAATCAGGAGCTGCTGCTGCTGTTGCTGCTGCTGGTGCTGCTGCTGCAACTCGTGGGCTGCAGTCATCATCATCGACAAACTTGCAGTTGCGGGGCCTCAGCAGCTCTGTGGGCTCTTCGACGCCATCACAGGAAACAGCAACTGCAACAGGCCACTCCTGCTGCTGTTGCTGCTGCTGCTGCTGCTGCTCGACCTCTGGCTGGGCCGGCTTCGGGGGATCAGCAGGCTGCGCTCCTGTCTCTGGAGACGAAGAAGCAGCTCCTAAACTAGAGTCTCTGAAAGGGCTCCACTGGAGCTGCTGCTGGACAGTCTCTTCCTGCAGCAGCTCCTGCTGCTGCTGCTGCAGCTGCTGCTGCTCTGCCTCCAGCCTCCTGCTGCGCCGCACCCGCTGAAGACGCGTCTCCAGGTGCACGAACCGCCTGCTGCTGCTGCTGCTGCTGCTGCGGCTGCTTTTGCTGCTGTTGCTTCTGCTGGAGCCGTTGCTCATACGCTTTTTCGGCTTAGCCGCGCTTGGGGGGCCGTCTGCAGCAGCAGCTGCAGCGGCTGCTGTTGCTCCAGCAGCAGCTGCCTCTCCTGCCGTTGGTGCTGCTGCTGGTGCTGGTGCTGCTGCTGCTGCTGCTGGAGCTGCTGCTGCTGCTGCTGCTGTTGGCTCAGGCCCTTTTGAAGTCTCTCGCTTGCTTGCAATTGTGTCTCTGGAGCTATCTACTTTCACTTCCTGCTGGGTCTGTGCCTGCTGTTCTCCGAGTCCCCCCGCTTGCTGCTGCTGCTGCTGCATCCAGGCATCGTGGTCCGCGAGAAAGCCAACGTTTGTTGCTGCTAGCTGGTTAACTGCTGCAGCGATTAGGCAAGCGAGCTTGTACTGGCGTTTGATCTGCTGCTGCAGCAGCACGT